AATTAGCTCTTGCCATTTTTTTTTTTTTTTGACATTTAAATTAATCGTTTAAAATTTGACAAATTGTTCAAAGCAAATTCAAGTTGCATAATAATTGTATAATAACTTCAGACGGATTGTATATTTCCTGTATGTTTAACCTTGATCGTGTTTGTTCATCGTATAGCAATTTTATTTTCTGTCATAGAAACTGGCATTGCTTAGTGTCAAAATAAGACTTTTTTTTTTTTTTTTAAATTAACCATTAGTTTATTGACCCAAGTTAGTCAAGTAAATCACAGTGACTTAGTAAAAGCTTTGCTCACTGGTAGACAACGGATGACTATACGGGTAATATAAGTCATAGAGCAGCGGTTATAGAACCTGACTCTTATAAATAGGCGCCTCCAAAGAAAAGCGATTGCCAAGGTTTAAGAATCATTTTTTAATCTGAGAAATATTTCTTGAAGCATTTATTTCAGTTTTAATTTCAAGCGAATAGATTAAGTTTAAATATTTCTAATAATCAAAATAGTTTGCTGCATTTCAAACCGAATTTAAATTGATTAGAATTGTTTATTTTGATTTTAAATCGTTAAGATTACTAATAAAGCGAATCTGTCAACACAAAGGTTTTGTTTATTTCATTTTGAATAAATTTTTAATAATCTTCCACAAATAAAATTTCAGAAAAGTAAACAGCAAACGAATTTTCGTCGCATTTTGAGGCTGACACACGCAGAGATACACACGGGAAATACATGTCAAAATTGCCACCAAAGAAACAAACTTTGAGAGATTAGAAAAATTCGTACAAGAAACTTTTTCACTTAATATCTTTCATAGAAAATCTTTTGTCTAAGTTATTCAACTTTCAATCAAAGGCAGACAACTTTTTAGACATTGAACATTTTCGAAACAGCAAAGAACTTTTCCGCTATACTTTTGCACACATTACAAACAAAGAAATTGTAAATTGTGTATAGAAAATTTAATCTGTTGTTTCAAACATGTATTGTTTGTCGTGATTGAATATCGTTAACATTTGGCTATTTCTTATAATTTATGCTTGTGGATATTGCATATTTTATTTGTAGCACAATCTTAGATATTCATGCATCCTTCTAAGATCCACCACATACTTATACTTATCTGTAGATATAATAAAAAATGTAGTGTTTAGTAAAGATCCAAAATGAAGCAGTAATCCATAAAAATAAAAGTAGTAAACATCACATCACGGCATCGTTACGGTGTTTTGTGCTCGCATAAATTAAAAAAAATAAATTTCCTCTTGAGTGCCTAGCTTTGTTGTTGCCTTTTTCCGTTTTTAGTACAGACTGGATGTTAAACAGTTTTATTTTTGGTCCTTTTACAGGTTTATTTCTTTTTACCGAACGCTTTGAAGCAAAACGGTTTCGCACAAGTTATAACTTTCTTAAACATTGTGAAAAATAAAACAAAATTGTTAATGCCGCTTCATGTGTTTGTGGTAGATAGTGAGGTGTAGCCTGAACACTAAACAGGTTTTGAAAAGAACGCTGACGTCATTGTCTTTTTTTTTTTTTTTAAATTTGATAATGTCCTTTATGAACTGTCATATTTAATTGCACCTGGTCTAATATATTACACGCATTGTTTACTGTTGGACATACTAACATTTAACACCGATGTTAAAGTAAGAATCTAGACTGTTGCATAAAAAAGTCATACTTTACGCCAAAATCTTTGAAACTTAATCAGTTTTCGAATTCAAGAAACGTTCAAGAAAATAACATTAACAATTGTAACATTAAGGTATTTGGTAATTATAATTTGACGGATTCAAATTTGCTCAAATTTTAGGTAACACAATAGACTTCATTTTTAGCACATTTATGCGTTAAAAAAATAATCTGTTGTGTGCCATTTTTTTTAAAATAGATCCTAAAGCTAAGTAATTAACATTGACCATAATGTTTCATTTTAAATCGCTTCAGAAGAGTAATGCTAAGTTAGAAAACATGCAAATTGAGAAACCTTCTGATGGAATAATATAAATTCTCTCTCGTATAAAGTGGGACTCCTCTATATAAACATCCAAAAACAACAAATTCCGATGTAGAATCTTAAGAACATTTTTATTAAAATAGATTGATTAAATTATAAAAATGTTCCAGAAATACCCAAAAGAAAATAGTAGATTTTTATTTATAAAAGCGAATGAGAATTTTTTTTTTTTTTACAGATTCGAGTGATTGCATCAAACGTCCGGAGAATCCGAGTAGGGATTTTTATGTTTTTACATTCTGCAGTGTGAAGAACAATGTTAGCCAATCTCAGCTCGACACGAGTAGATTAAGGAGCAGTGAATTTGAAAATAAAATCTGAGTGACAATTTGTAAACTTTTTTCAGTGACGAATATATAGAAAATGTTACAGGATTTCAGTTATGAAGTTATATTAACGTTGAAGTTGTCAACGTAAAGTACGAAAGAAAATGTTTCATAGCTGAAATTAACAAAGAAATATATGCAAAGTGAATGAGTGCATATGAAAATAAAAAATATAACAATCACGTGGAAAAGTTTCAGTCAGAAATTTTCTAAGATGTAAAGAAAAATACAAATTTTATAGTAAGTAAAATAAAATAGGAATGAATTGCACCAGCCAGCATAAAATATCTGGCTTCTTTTGAAAATCATTTCAAATAATAAAATGAGTATTTCTTACTGGCGGTAAAAAATAAACTGCAAGAATTGTTTTTTCACGATTCTGAGTCACACTGAATAAAAAGCACGGGAGAACTTAAATTAATAACATAAAAAAAGTAAATAAAAATGAAAAAAATCTGCCTCTGATCATCAGAAGTTCCCCAAAATATATTCATGTATTGTAAAGTGTCATGTAAACCATGTGAACTGTTTATTACAAAGGCATCCTACAATATTCAGTTAAGCATAAAATGAATAATTGTATTCTCGGTACTCATTTTTAAAGAGTTCACCACCACTGAAGCATTCATTTCTATACTCCTTAATATTGATAATTATTTAAAAACTTGAGAATTTGATTCTAAAAATATCAAAACTTTCAAAGTTTGAAAAATAAAAATAAAACTATTTGGGAGATATATTCCACCTCAATCAGGTTACCTTTTATAACTTGCAACGGTAACAGGTTTTATACAAGATTTGTCAAATTCAAGTACAGTAAACAAGTGTAGGCAGATTTATTTAGATTGATTTTAGAAAAAAGTTATTTTAAAATCCATGTCTTAATGTTAAAAGTATGTAAGGTACTGATCTTTAGACAGAGTTTGAAAGACTTGTTCAAAGTATACGTAATCTTTTCAGAAGTTTTCAATTTTTAGGAGAAACGCGTTACGTATCACAGATTTACGATCATAATTCATAAAAATATATGTTTTCACATGATAATCAAATTAATCGTCATTTGATAGAAGCGCTAAAAAAAAAAAAATAATGACCAAAAATAATGACCAAGTGAATTATGATGAGGTATCGACATAATGTTGGAAATGAACACAGGTTATTAAATCTATTTGGAAATCGGAATATTTCCGATGAAGATATTGGGCTGTTACAAAAAAAAAAAAAAAAAAAAAAAAAAAAAAATGGAAAGTTGTAAGATTAATCTTTGAAAAGAAAACAAGAAACGTTAAACCTGAAATGACAAATTTATAAGTAAATAGATGAAGAGTAAAGGCCTTGCCAATCATAAGCTTTATAAAAATAATCGAGACAAGAATTTTAAATTGATACTTCATTTTGTTGCAATTAAAAGAGAGAATTGTGATCAAACTATGTGGAAATATCTTGATATTCAGAGTATACACATTTACTGATTACTTTACTGATTAGTATACACATGTACTGTTTCCATGTGAATATTGAAAAATTTAAAAAGGTACAAAAAATAAGGTATTGAAACGTACATGATTCAGGTATTATCAATATGTCTAACCAACATAAATTAATTTACAGGGTGATCCAAAAGACACGCGACAATTGGCAGGAAACATACACTTGTGAAATAGCAACCACGGGAAATGTTCATGACAAATATTTGACCAATAAAATTTCTTAATATACTATCATATACAGAAACATGATTACATTTGGTAAATAAATATAAAATTTACAAGGTTATCAGTGGTAATGCGACTTTTGGAACACCCTGTACATCACTTAATTAAAACTTGTTTATCTTCACGTATATAGTTGCATATCAGAATCTGATGATAGCAACTATCTCGGCGGCCTGCTTGAAAGTTTTGATTTTCTGGAAATTTTCTATTCAGCTGTCACTTAACACTTTATACAAAGTAACTGTTCGAAATGGATTCTGAAATTTAATCGTTTTCAGTATTCAATCCTTTGCTGAAATTCATTAGCGTAGGAAGTTCATTCAAGTTTTTTTTTTAAATAGATGTTCTCGAAGAAAAAGGCGATTTGAAAAGAAAAAAAAAGGATTTTATATTTTATAGGCTATAAAGATTTTAGCTGAGAAAAATTTACTAGCCAATAAATGTATTCGAGAAAAGTTGATTTTTTTTTTCAATCTTGTTTTATGGTTTTATCTACCGATGTTTTAAGGATGACTTTTGTGATTTAAATGATGATTGTTATTCACTTTGCAAAATTTGAATTAAAAAAAAAAAAAAAAAAAAGAAAGAAAAAGAAGCGCTTGTTATTTTAAGAGAAAACTGCGTTAATCTTCATGCAAGAAAAACATAACACGCTGCAGAATATATGATCAATATTCAGTTTTTCGTGGGATTTTGAGAGAGCAGCAAAGTTTAACATGAAATGATTTAGCAGGTCCAGGTTTTTAAAAATAAAACCTAATCCAGCTCAGAAACGATCTCCTGAGAAAAATAATTTTAGAAATTTCTAATGTATTTATCATTGACTTTATATATTTTTTTTTTATTAAAAAAATACATATTTCCGATGCACATTATAAAAATGAATGTCATTTTATATTACATTAAATCGAAAATGTTTTAAGCACCAAGATCAGATATTGTCGCCTTCGATGTCGACAAGGTTCTTAAGCATGGAATGTGTGAATTCTAGCCTCTGAACGATATCAGGTTGACAGCCGTGTTTGATCAATGAGACGATGCTGTATGTACGTGCCAAACGATTCTCATCAATGTATGTGACGAAATAGGTGTTTTGACTCGGACTAAGGATAATCTTGGTGTGGTCAATGAAGAAGTTCACCTAAAATTTAAAGAGAAAAGAAATTTTCTAAAAATTAATCAAAAACGTCACATTTAAAGGTATAACTTGGTAAAGACGGCAGTACAAATTAAATGTAATCATATACTTTAAAATAAAAAAGGTTTTTTAAACTAGAGTACTCACTTGTAGTGTTCCATCAGTGAGATACATAACAATGGCCTTAGTTGTGCGAAACCACTTCTTCAAGTACAGATTGCCTGACCAAGGGTCTTCAACTGATTTCTGCCAGCCGTCAGCGAAGTTGCCACCCTGAAAACAAAAAGACTAATTATTCCGGTGAATTTTCCGGCAAACAAGATGTGTGCATTGTATATTATAAACAAGATTTGCAATAGTGAATAATCGAAGAAACAAAGAGAAAACCTCTGCTGAAATATACTAGGAGATTATAATTTGGAAATGAAGTAATAGAAATCTTGTTGAAAGATGAGATTCGTGTAAACGATTTTTTTTTATTTTGCCTATAACTACACTAAGTTAAATTACATATGTGAATGAAGGTAAAATGAGGAGTATTGACCTTGATTAAATGTTCATCCATATAACGAGCAAAATACAACAATAGTGTTGTTTTTTTGTCTAGCTCCTCTGGAATGCAATCTGTGGTATAGGTTGAACGACTGTCTGTCACATCATAATATTGGAGAGACCTGCAAGAAACAAATTAAGCTCGTAAATTATAGATACATATATTTTGACTAATAGTGATTTATTATAAATTATTTTTGTTCAGTAATGTTGTATGAAAATACAATTACTAATGGACTTTGATCTTCCCAAATTGTTAGGAAATATATGAACATTTTTATGAAGAAATGGACTTTATTATAACTGATAAATGTTACCGTAAATAGCTAACATTGCACAGATGAAAATCTATCATTACTTATTGGTACCTGTCAAAGATTTCAGTGGATAGCTGACTATATTAATCTGTAAGAATGTCTCAATTATTTGAAGTTAAAAGTTAATTCCCCAGGGGAAATATATGCGAACTTAAAACACTTATCTAAATAAAAATAGCATGAAAGAACTTACCGATTGTCTGGGCCAATGATAATGCGAGAAGTGTCGTTGAAGAAAACACCAATCGAATTATTAGAAAGCTGGAAACCGAATCCATATTTGTTGGAATAATCTACCCATTTAGTTACCCAGACAATATCTGAAGAATTGAAATTGATGGATGCTGGAAGTTCTATTTCATGATTTACGTCTGTTGACAAACACAAAAGAAACATTTCATTAGTTTTTAAGATTGTGATTTGTATAACTCGAAAGGTTTTAATTTTTTTTCTTTACAAAGAAACAATCAGTTTGATTTACAACAAAATATTTGACAGACAAATTGAACTGCTTAAATTTTTCAGCAAATATGTTGAAAGCAAAGTAAAATCCAATTTAGTATTAACAAAATTAATACTAGGCTAAAATTATTATTATAACGTATTTTTGATTTGCATATTTATTTACACGGGCTTGATTGTGACAAAGTCATTTGATTTGTTTCTTTAGAATATTTATTAAAATTTAGTCATAAGTAATTTTCGTTTGGGTGGGGGGGCAATTTTAATGATGAATGTATCATTTTAAATCTCTATTGATTTAACACTCATAACATTTCTGTACTTGCATTGTGTTGATCAATATCTATCAAAGTAACCAAGTTGAAGAACCGACTTGGTTTGAAACAAACCACTAAAACTGAAGAAATTTGACAAACTAACCTTTTGGCATGTGGTCCAAGCAAGTCCCTAAAATATCTAACAAATTTGATGCTCGACGGTAGACTGGGAAAGATTCTGAAAGAATAAAAAAAAACACAGAATTCAGCCTTAGATTATTCCCTCAGATACGATGACTTTCAGAATTTTTTTTATGAAGTATAAAATTTATATAAATCAAAACATAATTAAATGCATATGGCACATAGTTGTATGAAGAGCACTGAGAGATATGCAATGTCAATTGTTTGAAACTCCTCGAGTAAAACTGCAAAGCTTCGATTCCTAAATCAGAATTCGTCTAATAATAGATGTAGAAATTATTAAGCATACACAAATCGCTGATACAAAAATAAGCGAAAATGGGCTATTAAGGCGAGAGAAATTTATGTACTGTTATTGATGAATAGCTATTGGCGGTGGCATATCTGCTTTTATATATATATATATATATATATATATATATATATAAAAAGGAAATGACATTCGTTTCAAAATTCACTCCCTCTTTTTTAAACTAGAATAGATTTGATGTGATTGAATATCGCAGATTTACATACACAAAATAATTTTCTCTTGTTTTCTTGAAACTAATAGAGCATTTTTGTAGTTTACTTTCACAACAAAATTAGCAGTTTAAAAAAAAAAAAAAAAGGAAGATAAATGACAATTTATTTTACTGCTACTTTTATTATTATTAATAATAATTGAAAACCAAGGCTAGATATAAATGTAACCTACCTAATTGTTGTGGATTCGATAAGTCGTAAGGTGAACTGTCAAAACCAGAATCTTTGGGTGTTGCAGCAAGAACAGGACTGAGTTCCCGATCGAAGCATTGTTGAGAATTTGGAGTTTTACTCTTTGTTTCATTAAATTCAGGAGACTAGAAAAATTCACAAATTAAAAAACGAAAGAATTTCGTACATCATTTACATTAATACCTCATCTCCGAAATATAGACAGATACTAAAGAATTTCGTGTTAAGCAATAGAGAAAGAATGAAACAGGTCATCATTGTTTTTAATTTAAGATAATCGTTAAGGAAGCATTTATAAACATTAGAATGATTTTCCTTAAATCTGAATTGTAGTTTATTTTCTTATTTATTTCTTAAAATAAAAATTTATACTTTATAATTAGTTTGGAAAATATTCAATTACGAATAATTCAATGTCATTCGAAATAAAATCTTTTTTCTATTAAATCAGAAATAAAAACGGCTATGATGCTTTTTATTTTATCTTTCAAACATGCACTTTTTGCGGTTAGAAATATATGAATCTTTAATTTAAAAGGACTCGTTAGAATTTTTTATATTGTAAGAATTAAAATGTGATGTATTAGGCTAACGAAAAATTATCAATAGTTATAAAGCTCACCTCCCAGTTTTCAGATTCTGTGTCTGCTTTCAATCTATTAAGAACGCTTGTGATAACTGTAACATTATCACACTGGCTAGCCGGTACAGCATATGATAAAGGTCTAAAATAAGACAAAAGAAAGGATGTCAATCAGTTTCTAGTTTTAACTTTTATACGAAAATGATATTCATTTTCATTGGACACAAATCAAGCTAACAAAGAAAATTAGAACAAGTGTCAAATCTTGAGCAGTAAATTTAAGCAGCAAGAGTGTTATTTCTTTAGACAGTCACTTTTGTATGGGAAAGAATAATTTAAGTATTGTCTGAATTAAGGGTAGTGAAATCTTCATAACACCTGACAAAACTGATAAAACGTTCAACACATTTATTGTTGTTCTATGGGGACTTCATCTGTTTCACAAAATAATGCATTTTTATATAATTTTTTTAAGTACTCAGTAATCTTAAAATGTGGAAAATATTCTCCGTAATCTAATTTTAGGAATGTTGACCTTAAATTTACTATAGTCATAGCCCTTATTTTTTGATTATGTCATGTATGGTCGACCATACTTTCAAACAAGGGCACGTTATGTAATATTTTATATACATAAAAAAAATATTTAAAAAATCTTTATGCAAAATACTTTGTATTACGCTTTTTAAGTTTTGATTAGTAAATATAGTTTTCACTTAATAACAATATCACCTAAGCGGATAAAAGTAATATAGAATTTTAAAGATTTATATATTATAAATTATTAAAATAAAAAATAAATGAAAACAATTCTTTTAAAAATTCATTATTAATCGAAAGTTTTTTTTTCTGAAGACAATAATAAAAGCAATTACAAGCTTTTCTAATTAAATTAATGTTATAGTTTTATTGTATTTTTTATTTTACGATTCGGAACAGATTTTCGGGTAATGAGTAATAGTTTTAAAAAAAATCTTGATTTACATTCTCTAAGGATTCCCGTTTCCCGAAATTTCATGAAATTAAGTAAGTGGAGGGTTACATTTGTAAAAAAATATTTGTACTAAGATTTTTTAAAAACAAATAATTTCATTCATTTGTGAATAATCCTGAAAGCTTCATTAAGATCCGACAATTATTTGATTTTTGCAAGAATTTCAAAATCAATGTTTTTCACCGGAAAAAAGCGTAAAAACACTAATCGCAAATATTACGCTGAGAAAGAAAAACATTTTTTAACCAAAATCTCGAACGTGCTAGAAAAGATTAAAAAAGAAAAATAATACGAAATACTTTGGTCTTTCCTCTTATTAATAACAAACATTTTGACGATAAAACTGTTTTTAAGTTTGGGGCTTTTTTTTCATCATGTTATACTGTTTTTACAGTGACAAATTGGAGGTACCTATTATCAGTTATGTATCATGCGTGATAAAGCGTAGGCGGTAATGTATCTTTTGATACATGACTGACGAGGCAGATATTTTTCCCTTAGTAGGTAGCGATTTCTTTCTGCGGTAGACCAGTTGCCATCCAAGGCTATAGAACCCGCTCTGTCCTGCTATTTATCCATATCTGGGGGGAGAAGAGGAGGATTCATACCTTTCCCAATGGTATTAGTACGTAAGTGAATGTAATGGATTCGACTGGAATTCGAAGTCGGCTCTCCGATTCTTCAATCCGAGGTACCTATTATAGAGGGATCAAAAGAGCTCGCTCGCAGTATTTGAGCACAGGACCTCATACCAACTGCAAAGCATTGGGGTGGAAATGCCATGGTTTGGGACTGTTTTATTGTAGCAGACCTGCCAAACTCACCATCATAGAATCCACCATAAATTCTTTATATTATTCGAGAGAGTGCTTGAGGAAAATGTGTTACAATCTATCAGAAAATTGAAGCACTATTCATGATAAGGACTCAAAACATTTTAGCAAATCCACTAAGAAATGGCTTTAAAAAAGAAAAAAAAAAAAGAATATGAGTGACATAGAATGACAAAGTAAAAACTCGGATTTTAATCCCATTGAGGTGCTGTGAGATGATTTGAAATGGTTTTTGCGTGTAAGACACCCTCTTAAACATCACACAGCTGAAAGTATTCTATGTGGAGGAGTAAACGCTTTTTTCCAACCGACATCAGACAGTTACAGGAAACTAGGTAATTTCAGTCAAAGAAGGCATATTAGCTGTTAGAGAATAGGATGCTCTAAGATTTTTTTTGCAGGAATTGGCATTTTTGTACTTTTTAGTTAAATACATGATAAAGTTATATCTACATTTTTTGTTCTTCGATTACATCACAGACACACACCCACCCATTATAAATGAGATCAAATATGGATAAAATTAGGTAATTACATATTTCTTGGAGCTTAACTTTTTCACGTAACTATATAGTTGTAATACATTTTCATAGTATAGATCGTATATATAATTTCCATTTGCCCTTTGATTATAGGTGAGGCTCCGAGGATAGGGTAAACTCAACATTTTATCAAGATTAACCTTTTGTGAAGTTGCCACTGACAAAATATGTCTATAACAGCTATATAAGTTATCGCTAAAATAAGAAAAAAGGCAGTAAATAAAATCAGTTGAGCAAAGCATAATATATAAAGTGTCTTGTTTCTCTTACCCTACTTTGTGATAAAAATGGGTCAGATTACACTAAAAAGAAAGAAAAAAAAATGGTAGCAGAAATACTAATCTGCAAATTTAATCAGCAGTTTCAAGTTTACATTGCTCTTTTCAAATGGCATTCATTTCCTTCACTTCAATAAAAGCAGCATGGAAAGAGAAAATTAGTTGCTTTAGACTGAAAAAAATATTTTCAAATGTCATAACTGAAGAATGAATTGTTTTTTTAATATTCACATATCAATTATTTTTCTTACTCTCCTCCTCTTCATTAACTAAATATTCAGACAGAGAGAATGCACCCATTGCCAATCACATGATCAAAAATAAATTTATCACAAAGACAAATAGTTAAGTCCGAATATATTTTATTTATCACGAATGAAATATAATTTTCATAGATTAACCACAAGAATTAAACCTTTGAAATGAAGAAATTTTCGAACTGTAAAAATAAACTTTTCTTATTTGGACATTTTTCTATATGCCACTAATAGTTTCATGAATGCAAAGGGATAAAATACAAGTTTAAATTCATTTTATTTGTAAAAGCGTAACTTACTTAATAAGAAAGATTTAATGTTAATATAGAACCAGTCATGTCAATTGATCGTGACTTAAAAAAAAAGTCCAGCTAATTTGCTGCCCAGAGATTCTTTTTAAAACCGTTGTCCGTTTTGTTGTTTAATCATCATATCTATAAATAGATGCAATCCAATCAAAGAAAAAGAAGATAGTGGTTCGTGGTTTTAGTAAGAAATGCTCTAACCCAAGCGTTTTCTCCTAAATTTACCTAGCAAACGGCCGCTCCGTTTTAATGCGTCGATCCCTAAGTCACATCCATATTTGCCCATAAATGACAACAATCCTGAAAATGCTGTGAAATGTACGAGAATAAGAATTAGCAGCCGACAGTCTAATTAGATACACGAGCAGAGTAAAAATCGCTCTCCCCCAAAACAAATCAACTACATAAAAAGTTATTGTTCATGTCCCGCTCCAGGAAATCCCATATAAAATACTATGACGTATCAAACTTCACAAAGATGCAGGCTTAGGCCGTAAAACTTAATCATGATGATTATATATAGGTTAACAGTAACGCATAAAGAACAATTTCTTTTTCTTTGACTGCCTATTGGCTTTGGTAAATATTGATAACTTTGCATTTGATCTCAATAAAAAGTAAACCAAAAACTGAACTATAAAGGAATGCCTACCTATCCTAGTTTTAAGGCTAGACGCTTAAATCATTTGAAAGATTATACTTAAATGCCATTAGAAAACAATCACAAAAATTAAAATAATTCATAGAGTACAATTATTCAAACACTGTCGTGCTCTGACAGATGTTCTCACACCTTTTGTATCATCAAAGTAGAGGCAATCTATACTTATTTAAATGTAAAACACAAGAAATTCAAATCAAGTTGAACAAAGTAAAACTATATGGTTTTATACACGAAAAGGGGAATATTTAAAGGAAATTTAAGAAGAAATAATTGAAATTAATATTTGTACCAACAGTGAACGTTAGTGAGATACACCTGAAGGCCGTCCGTAAACCGAAATGTTTGTAAACCGAAACTATTTTACTAATAGGAATCAATGTAGAGAAAAAAAGTCACAATACAATAAAATTGGAGAAAAAAAGCACAACACAACACACGAATGTATACAACATGGCGGTCAACTCAGAAATTATTCCGTTCGGGTTAAACTCGGTTCGGTAATGTTTTTTGAGAACTGAAGTTGCACTGTATTTAGTTCGTATCAGAAATTGACATTTTCATTTGCTCTTTACAATATAAGTAATCATCTAAAGATGAGAAACCCATAATCATCAGAAATTTGTTAAAAATACATTTCCTGATATTCGTTAATGACCGTTAGCTAATTTATGATATAAACAAGATATTTGGCGAAAAGAAAATTATAGTTTATTATATACGAAAAGCAAAATACTCCGCCATAATGCACTATACAGAAACTGGATTTCACTTAAGTTTGTTCGTAATTAAATTTTGTTGGAGTCGGAAAAACATTTTTGATAATTCGAGGCATATAAGATTTACTTTGATTCTTCATTACACATTTTTTAATTTAATGCTCTTTTAAGATGTCGACGATCACGACGATCCGTGAATTGGCATAGGTTCTCGGAAATGAGAATAGTCATTTTCATTGCTTTCTCCACGGTTTTGAATTCAGAGTTGTTGTTCTAGTTTGCTTTTGCCCAAAGATCGCTGTTGGAAGAAGAAATGAATAGATGTCTTTCCCCAAGAACATTAGTGCGAAAGTGAATGCAATAGACTAGGACTGAATTTGAACTCAGTTGAAAGAATCCACTTTTCGCGTCGATAACCGTTACACTATCTGCCCATTTCGTTTACATATAGTGTAGTCATTTGATTATACATTAAGCAGCAAGTGTCCCACCTACACCCATGGATAAAGATTAAATTAATATGTACAAATATACGGCGGGGGGGTGCCACACGTGTAATACCTGTTTTGTTTTGGATGTTTAGGGAATGTTGGAGCCGATGTGCAGCAAGAGGTTGAAAGTTCTCTGGGCATATAACCAGACGTAAAAAAATCATCAAACAAAATCTCATCAATGGACGGTCTTTGATCCGGTTGGGGTTGAAGGCATTTGGTGATAAAACGTTTAGCTGTTAATGAGATATTGGACGGGATGGTGTATGTATTAGATGTGATACGCAAATATGTCTCTTTCAGTGTGGAGGTTTCGAAGGGAGGTCGGCCCACCAACAAGGCATATCTGAAGGGGAAAAAGAAAAAAAAAAACAAATAAGTTTGAGTGGATTTGCGAGAAGAATTACTGAATCAGTTTCTCAGAGAAATTTCGGCTGATAATTCGGAATATCAACTCGTTCGTGATAGTAGAATTAATATTATATTGTATGAAACGTACTTGTGAGGCTTGAAAATGTTTATGACACTTTAGCACTGAATTTCATACAGTTATACAAGATTTTTATATTTAAAATAAAAATATTGTTTATACAATATTAAAAAGACTTATTAAAAATATATCAATATTAGCAACGAAATAGTGTCAAAGCTTAGTGTAGCGGCTCTTAAAAAGATCATTTCATAAGTAAGAATTTATTTAAATTAAAGTGTTTTATATATATATATATATATATAAAAGAATGAAACCTTCTATAATGACTATTTTCCCAGATTGTTTTGTAGAATTAAAATTATAGGCAAGCAATGTAGGTATTTAGATCAAATAACAATTTACGCGCAAATAAGATAAAGAATACATAAATAAAATTGCTTACGTGATGCATCCAATAGCCCAAATATCTGCTTCAAAACTGTGACCTTTTTTCTGTAATACTTCCGGGGCAATGTAGTTTGGCGTTCCGCACACAGTCCTGTTGCAAAAGGAGAGAGTGAAATATATATCAAGAACAGTATTGGGGAAATTGTATAACAAAGTGAAAAAAGTTTACTTGTGATGCGTTTCGTCCTTGAGGACTTCATCGGACTAAATTTGTTATGTTGGTGGATGTGCCCATTATGAATTTAGAAATGTATTTCTCTCGTTTTTATTTTAAAGTTTAATTACAATGGTATCATTTTCAGCCTAGCTACAAGTATCCAAATTATGATCATTGCTCTTGTCTAGGTACAATCATTCATAGGCGAAAGCTGTTAGTTACCCCAATACTTTCACTGATATCAGCCTTTGATATGTATCACGCATTTTTTACGGTAAAAACTCGTATGAAAATTGTATGAAAGTTAATTTTATTGTCAAAAATTTTGACCCGAAAAGTCACTGGGAAATAAATGGCCAAAATCATAACGTAAATTTTGTTTCATCACTTGCACAAAATTACTAGTAAATTTTCATCTCATGCTAGCGGTCAAAGTAGACATCGTTTGACAAGATTGGTAAGCTGTTTCTTAAGATTGGTGCAACACCATCCTTAAAGAAATATTCATACGGAGCAATCTGAATAGAGTCAATTAAAGCAAACCTACATTTTCTTTTCTCCCTCGTGACGAACTCTTGTTGCGAGGCCAAAGTCAGCAATTTTGACATTCATGTTTTCATTGAGTAGCATGTTACCCAATTTCAGATCTCTGTGGATGATATTCTTTTTGTTGATGTATTTGACACCTTCGATCAATTGCTTTACGTAATAACGCACCTCTTCCTCTGTAAGGTATTTCCGATTCTTAAGGACGTGAACCAAACTCTGAGGAAAGAAAGAAAGAAAACAAATTTATTTTAAGAGAATAATGTGAACAAAGAATTTTCTTGTGAAAGCCCTGAAGAAAATGTTGAAGCTACTATTTTAACTGGTGCGATTAAACTGAGAGAGATGGATTGTTTGATGCTTTACGTACGTGTACATAAATAAGCTTTTAAACAAGAAAAATTGTATTAGAAACTTAACAGGTAATATTTAATAAAATATTGTTGAGTAAAACTTATCTTTTTACACTTAAGAAAAATTAAATTACGATATATTAGAAACTGGTTATATTTTTCTAGACAGTCATGTGCGTCTGTAGCATGCAGTAATTTCAGAAGTAAATATTCTAGCCATTCTTTTTATTATTATAGACATTATATATCATTTTATATATATATATATATATATATATATATATATATATATATATATATATATATATATTTTTTTTTTTTTTTCACTACTTGAAATATTTGAAACAAAAATTTTAAATAAACATTTCATTCATAACTTGGCTTGTTATGAGAAAAAAAATTTACAAATAGATGCAAACTTGTTGAAGGCCAAGTAAAATGCAAATTTCAAACACTTCTGCACTATAAAAGACGATATTCCTAAACAGAACTATTTTTGATATCAAAATCAAAATAATCCTCGAATGAAAGAACAGCAATGAAGGACAGTTAATTAATGAAAAACTTTTTTTTTTTTAAATCAATATGCTAATTAGTTAAAGCTGAAGAGTGATATTGCCTAGAAGATAATATATAATACAAAATTTTTAGCGCGTAAATCGCTCTTTGGAGTGGTTGTAACACCCTATTTATCATCTCAGTTGCGTCTCTGTCTTTGGGCAGGTTGTACTCAGGGGCTTCTCTGTCAAAGGACAGAGGGGCAACTGAGAAAATTATACTGAGGAACAGCTGGCCAAGGTCGCGCCCTCCCATGGCACCAGATAGAGGGATCGGTGCTCGCACAGAGGCCAGCGCAATCGACGGTTAGGGTGCTGAGGGCAATTTTTGATTTTGTCCCTGTGTACGTGCTCGGGGCCCCACCTAAAAATAGACTGTGTCACATCCAGTTCTAGTTGGTGGGAAATCGTTCTTTGGTGTGGCTTGTAACGCTGTTCATCTCTCCGTTGCGTCTGTTCTTTGGCAGAGTGCACTGACGGAGTCGCAACTGAGGAAAATTATGCCGAGAGTTGCCCAGCCCTGGGAAACATCTGCCTGAGTCCGCGCCCTCTCATTGCATATGATATATATATATATATATATATATATATATATATATATATATATATATGTCACACCGAGGCCAGCGGGCAATTTTTGTTCCTAGCCCGAGAGTACCCGGTCGGGCTCCCCACATTAAACCGACCTTATGTCACAACCTGACCTAGTGGGGGGGGGGAGGATGAGTAAATACCAAGTTACTATAAAGTAGTTTGTAACACGTTTATTTATCATCTGTCAGTTCAGTTGCCTATGTCTTTTGGCAGAGTGCAGCTCAGTTGCATCTCAATCAGATGACAGAAGCACAACTGGGGAACCTCGAATAGTGAGGTATCCAGCCCTGGGGAACAGATGCCCGAGGCTGCACACTCTCATTGCACCAGAGAGAGGGATCGGTGCTCGCACCGAGGTTAGCGCAACCGACTGTTGAGGGGGCTCGGGCAATTTTTGTCCTTAGCCCGAGTGTACGCGCTCGGATTCCCCACATGTAAACTGACCTTGTGTCACAACTCGACTCCGTGTGTGTGTGTATGTGGGGGGCGGGGTCAAGTAAATACCTATTATAAAATAGAGCTGGGGCTTTTTAACCACAGAATTCGTGGGAGAATTGAGCTCCATTTTCGCATTTATTCATATAGATTCCATAATATAGGTTTTACTTAATTAGCTACTTTGTTTCTCTAATTCTTCAAATGTTGAATGTATAAGAAATTCTAATTTCTATTTTCCCATCTTTACACTATATTAATTTGATCTTATACCCTGTTCTGTCACCCGTTAAATAAACATAATTGCTTGTACGGAAAATAAGGAGGTAGGTACATCAAATGGTCTTTAAATTAAGCGGCAGCCGAAGAATTATCTTTGAACTTTTAAAAGGTAAGCTTAAAGATTAATTCAATACTTAAATGCAGTGATAAATTTTGAGTTCTTCTGCAGTTTATTGATGCCTATCGATTCTACTCCTCCCTAGTTATTGTGATTATGATGGCTAAACCAAGAGAGTCCCCCACAGGGGCTAGCTTAGATAGGGCGGATTTTAAGCTAGCTGCAATGTTGGATACAAAAGAAAAATAAGAGTTACTCCCCTTGAACCATGAAAGCAACGATAATGGCTAGCATAATATATTAATATATATTTTTAACCTCACATAATATGGCAACCCTGAATCTGAGCTCAATGAAAATAATTCCCCGCGTCTAACTTTTCTAGGGCTTTTGAATGAGCTATACATCATTGAAATCGGACCAGTGGGAGCGGAGAGTTACTTGGACACACACACAAACACGCATACATACACTGTACTTTATATAGAAGATAAAGTCATTTTCTAAAGAACGTATTGAACAATGGTTTTTCCTGCAAAGGGGACGCATGTTCGGATCTTGCTGGAAGGTGCATTACTTTTCTGCTCCAAACTAATAATTGGTTCGTTCCTTTTATATGTTTAATTTGGTCAGAGAGAAAATGCTTAAAATTGAATTTATTGTTATGTTTAAGGCCATAAGGCCATTATGATGGGTCACTAAAATTTACTTGCGTGGGCTTAGAAATGTTGTAAGTACAATATAAAGTTACTGTGTTAATGTTTGAAATGATTCTAGCAATAATCAATTTATTGGCCTTCGCTTCAAAGTGACTATAGAGGCGTTAACCCGCAGTTGTCTCGTAATCATCGGTTTTAGTGGCCTCCAAAAAGGGATCAAAAAACAGCAAGTACGACAATCATAGAATGAATTTGAAACCATTTAAATTCAAAGATTTATCGAATAAGGAAATGGAGAGATATAGCGAAGCAATTAAAATTTTATACGTTCATGTATTTACAAAGAACGTCTACACCAACTTTAAAAATTTATATAAAATTTAAGATTATCTCATATTTCTAGTAGTTATTTTTAGTATAACTCCAGTATATCACTCCAGATAGACTTTGCAACTAGTGTGACATCAAAGACAGATGCATCAGCGGGTTGAACTGAAAGATGTCTAGCTATAAGTGGTAGATATGCTCCTCATGGTAGGTCAGTGACTGCCTCCAACATGTAAACAGGTGATCGATCCAGTTGCGCTTAGTATGTGCACTACAGGCCCACCCGAGATGGAAGGAGTAGAGTCTCTAACATCCTCGCGAGAAGTATCCACGTTTGGAGAAAAAGACCTAAATCAAACCCACGCACTCTCCGATATTATTTGCCGAAGTCCGCAGTTGAATAAACAATTTTACGTATAAGAGATTAATTTCCTTTTTATTAGGCTGTACAACTATAACATTACAATTATACAGAAAAAATGAAATTAAATGTAATACATGTATATTTTGTGTAACTTTCCTCCATCCATATTTAAAATCATATTATCACTAATGAACAAACGATACGTTCAGAAAATCTGTGCAAGTGAGAGAGATATGGGGGGGGGGGAAAGTAAAACCTTTATGCAGTAGTTTTATTCTTGATAAACAATGTCACATAAAACAATTATAATAAATAATACAAAGTATAAGGAGTGAATATCCAATAAAGATAGATTTTACTTCCTTGATCGACTGAGGTAAAGTTTGCTCTACTTTGGAGGTTTATGCAACAACAAGAGCCTTAAATCATCTGATCGGAAATATACTTGAAAACATGAAAATAACAGATGAAATGTTTCACATATAAAATTTCTGTATATCCATGGCAAGATTTATCGATTACGATCCCATTTTCACTCCCTAACTATCGTCTATTGAATGCAATTTTAAATGTATTTCATAGAGACGGGGAATATTTATTTATTCTTAAGACAAGATTAAAATAAACACTAAATTGTTTTATTAATTGAAAGAAAAACAATTTATAAATAAATCGTTAATAGCTGTCAGATATATCGGCATTTTTACAGTGTCACTCTTGGCCACGAAAGTGCCAAAAAACAGACACTTCTTGGAAAAAAATGGTTTAATCAGGTTTCATAAAGTTGATATTAAAATAGTTGGAGAAAAGTGATATAAAATGATTTTCCCATTATATATATATATATATATATATATATATATATATATATATATATATATATATATATATATATATATACACACAATTATTTGTGCTTGAAATTTATATATTTACACATTTTCAAAACCTACTGAAAGTCAACTAATTAATGAAAATGATTTAATATTCATTGATTACTGAAGAAAATTTCAATAGGAAAATATGATTGTAACACGATTATCCCCGCATCTTTTTACACACAAAACTATTCCGAAACGCAGTGTAAACAGAAAGTTCTGCTATTTAAACTATTTCTATCTTAAAGTATTTTTATTACTTAGATAAATGGATAGTAATTTTGTTCTTGTAGCAATTCATAGATTAGAAACGGAATTTGTGAGGAGTCATAAAGGGACATAACATCTAAAAAAAAAAAAAAAAAAAAAAAAAAAATTGTTAATAAAATATCAAAAACAAATAATATATTCATTTTTGACGGTACAAGTAGTTTTCAAATAAACATGCACAAAGACACTGAAGGTTTTAATGAGAAGTTTTCATGCTACCCTATTTATTGATGTTGAGTATTGTTTTATCAATAATAAAAAGTTGTAAGCTCATCATTTCACATAAGTGAAATATTCCTATTTTTCTGTACATTTAAATATATAGCATTTTTATAAATTCGCTCATCATCTTTAAAATGTTACCAGCGGATGTAATTGAGTGAAAAAATCCAAATGGCTACTGAAGTTTAAACAATGTAATTATAATATATTTATAGTTTTGACAAGCAGCGTCAAACGCAACGAGATAGTATAATCACTAAAGTTTTTGATGGCTTCAATGAAAACTTGAAGCCGTAACGAATACGTTGCTTTTTATGATCATTGTTCCTGTATATTGTGGGCGATTGAGAATCATGAATACAAAACATTTCAAATATTAGGTGAAGGATTGGTTATGAAAATACATTTAGATTTTATCTAAAATGTTTGTACTTCTTCCTCAGTTATTATAGTTTTTTCTTTTAAACCTAAAACCTTTGCATATGGTAGTTGTATAACAATCTAAGTTGATACATAAGGAAGCAAGAAAACATGTGTTGGTAAATGAAATTAAAATTAAAAGAGAGAGAAAAGGAAACGAAAACAGTGAGAGATACAGAAAAATTTTGTTTGACAGGAAGTTTTGAAGGAACTACACAATAGTATCATTTTCAGTTGGTTGCTTTGAAAGTAAATTTTGCTATAACCATTTAACAGGTGTTCAAAATATTCCAAGGAAAATACAATTTTGTTTCAAATTTATTTTTAAAATTATTTTGACGTGTACGGTTTAATTAATATCAGGGATTCGATTCCAGCCAGGGGTTCTAAGACTAGTTAAACTTATTTGACTTTTTCGATTATTAAGAGAAATATATTATATAGTTAGATCAATTTTGCGCATGTATGTCCAACTGACTACACTGATGCATGTTTACAAACAATGCAGATAATATAATCTAATATAAAGATTAAAGAGAATTATATAGTTGGAAGCATTGTAATACAGAAGAAAAATGACGCATATCTCCTTGAAAATACTCCTAGAGAACAGGTTGGGGATGTCTTTTTGGAGATCGTTGCATATAAAAGTCTTATTGCACTCCGGTATCTCTCAAAACCTGCTCTCATACATTATCTTTATATACGGTTTACTTACGTGATTATTCGTTTGCATTAGATATACTAGTTAAAATAAAGCTTAATTTCTTCGTTTAAACTCTTTACTATTAATTTATTTCCAGAGATAAGAGTGCAATGCTTTTATACTGCTTATGCTATCTTACATACCTAATTTCATGGTGTCTCTCGAAATTATAACTTTGCTATGTTCTTCAACATCTTTAGCTTTATTGATAATGGAGAAACTAGTTTTCCCAAACAACAATTACACAATAACGATTTCTGATTGGTGAAGATTATTTTGTATTGAATCGTTATCATTCAAAACTGTATTGAGCAGACCTACTGAAATAGTTGCATATTTATCCCCAATGTTCAGTGTCTGAACCTAAGTATAAAGCCAAGACTCGAATAGTGATTTTCTAGGCGGGTAGGTAAAATTTTACCGTTTAGAAAAGTGATACCACAATCATCTTAACACTAATTGGCTTTTTGTTACACTAAGCTTATTAAACATTAATAACAGATCTGAACTGAAAATTTGAAAGTTCAATTGGACAAGAGTTTTACTTACCTTTCGTGGGCAATTTTCCAGAATGATGTAGACATTTTCGTTATCTTCGAAGTAGCTGTGAAATTCTACGACGTGCTTGTGTTTGAGATCCTTGTGAAGTTCGACTTCGCGTAAAATCTACCAAAAAATGTATCAGTAGAAATGTATTAGTATTAGAAAGAATAACATTTCGCAAGGCAAAAATATTTTTAATAGAAAAGATGAGCTAAAACACTTAGTGTTATACAGTCTATTAACATATTTGAATGCCGATATTTGAATATTTTTAGCCTAACACATTGAATACTACTTTCATGTAGTCTTGGGCTCGATTTTTTTCTGCATGATACATTAATAGCTAACAAAGAATTTTTCTCGCATCTGAAGTTCAGAGATACAAAAGTTTCCTATGTGTGTGTGTTAGTAGTATTAAAAACAATCTATACGAACCTTGAACAAAAGAATTTAGAAAAAACATGAGAAGCAAGATGTCTCGAATCAACCAAAAGCAGATCACTAATATAAATCATAACCTTAGAGTTTAGTTGCACTATTTTACGTAATAAACTTTCCATATATATATATATATATATATATATATATATATATATATATATATATATATGGTGTAACAGCATAATTGTCCATCCCACAATATGTTTAATATCTAAAAAACTCTTCCAAACTGAGCAATGGTGAGAGGAAAAAGATCATTTACACCTTCAGTAATAGTATCAACATTCATACTCTGGCTTCCATCATTAAAGTCCATTCAAGAACCCTCAAAAGAAAGGTGAATAAGTTTAAAAAAGAGGGAACAGTAGAGAGGAAAACGGGATCAAGAGGTCACAACAGCTAAAGGGATCATCATTTCAACTTAGAGCTAGAGAGATAAATTAGAAAAGATCCAGCTCAATCCATACGACGTTTGGCACATGAGAGAGGAATTTCAGCTATGACAGTCCAAAGAGCAGTGAGAAAGACTTGTAAATGAAATCGTGAGGCACCTTGTTACTCCAGGAGAGAAAGTTAGATTAGAGAGGACAAAGATCATTTTGAATAAGTTGGAAAATGATTCTGGAATAATATTATATGAATTTTATTTCAATACTCCACGAGCTTCCGATCCTTAGCTATGATTAATTAATGATGAACATGTCATTTTCGTTTATGATCGATTTCATTACGATTCTTCTGTTAAGCTTGAGAGCAATTATACATTCTTATTGTTTAAAATACAGTCCAATAGTTTTATAAAAACCTCAGAGAATTCCAGTAAGATATCTTTAATCATTTCTAAGATACAACGGTTCAAATTTTTCTGTCATACTCGGCATATATATATATATATATATATATATATATATATATATAAATTGTGAGACAAAGATAACGGATTTTCTTAACACCGCCAACTATACCACTATTCCTCCATTTACCTACAATCATTTTCTACAAAAAGAAAAATATCTCTGTTGATAAAAACAAATTTATTATTAAACTATGAAATTGGACTTTCTTTCAACATCAGATCTCTCATTGAAGTTTCAAAGTAAATGCTACTGTGGATTGCATACATGAATGAGTTCCTTAAAGAATAGTTTATAATGTTATATCGTCGCCAAGAAGTTATTTTTCTATAAAGCTACCGAAAACCCATCTACGTCATATTTTTTTCAATATACGAAACAATGTCACGAATGTTACTGCATTCTGTTCACTTCATTTGTAAATTATAAACCAGATTCACTATCTCAGAAATACTAGATATAGTCTGTATATGGTGTTCAAATTTGTTATAATAACTTCTCTAGGCGAAGTAATGTGTGCGACATATTTTTATGATTTATATTTTTAAGATGAGGGAATAAAGACTAATTAGATAATTGATAACTTTTAGGCTCAAGGAAAGGGATATTTGTATTTAGCTATTGGGAAAAAGTAGTCATTAAGATTTAGATTTTGTTTTCAGGAATTTTCCCTTAATAAAATTATTTACTCACTTCCTCCGTATGTTCCAGTTTAAACATAAAGAACTGTTTTTTTACTCTCTTTCATCCAATACAAGGCCTACTCAAAGGAGAGGATTGTTAAATGTAGTTGTTGCAGTGGAATCAAAGCAGTAGACCTTCTTTGGGTCGGAAACATCATGCCTAAGCAATCGACCCAGACAGAGAGACAAGCACGCTCCGTTGGGAAGTATAAAATGACCCACTGGGAGAAGTGGAAGTAACAAAGGCTGCGAATGCTATGACAATACTACGTTTAGTGTTAATGTACCAGCTGATATTTCGATATTTGCTACCTTGTTCATAAACTTGAGATAACACAACGGAACTTGTAACCAGACTTGCAACCAACTTAACGAGACATCATGCTAATTTTGATATCAATCATCACATTATAATTTTAGAACGATGACATCGTCAGTGTACATTGTTAAAGTCACAGACCAGATCGAAAATTATTTCGTTAAAGTTTGAAACAATTTGTTTTCATTTAGCAACCCCCAAAATAAATCTGTTGCATCCCATAATTTTTCACAAATTCTAAGAAGTCTTCATTGGATTATAAGCAATTTCTTCGCTAGATTACTTTTTTGGAGAAAACTCAAGAGAAAATAGAATTTGATACATATCCAACCAACACTAGAACTGTCAAATGTAGTAAAAGGAAAAAAAATTGACAATTTCTAACAGATGTTTTTAGTAAAAAAAAAAATTAAAAAAAAAGGTCAAAGTATTGCTTTACCATTTAAAATGGGAAAATAATATTAAGCTCTAGAAATAAGAGGCGAGAGAAAGGGAGTGAGCTGGATTGAAATTAAGGACGAAGCAAAAGTGCGTGCTCCCAAACATATGCTATATGTGTATATAGATATTTGTGTTGCAGACGACGAGTACTTGTTGCATAATAAGTATACCAAAAATAGGCATATCTATAATATATCAAACATATGTATTTCATAATCATAAGAGTGTCAGTATATAAAATTGACAACTTATTGCAGGAATGTTCCACGACACAAATTTCATCAATAGAAACACAGTATCTGGTGGTATATAACCGCCACCCCCAACAAATAAATAATGTTTGTAAAATATCGTCAGAGTCTCATCTACGAATCTGACGTAACTGGTAAGCTAATGTTTGCCCAGACGCTATAGACTACCATTAATTGTACCTAGCCTAACTCCATAATACTATAATATTAAAAAAAAAAAGGTATGTTAATATTAAAAATATTTAGTAGTGAGGGAGAGACTTATCTGCTATCAAATACGATAGTTTTTTTTGTTAAGGATTATCAGAATTAAAACTTTTCAAAAGAAAGTTTTAATTCCGACAAACCTTAACAATAACTATTATAACCATAAAAGTGGCGTCAACTTGTTAGTTTTTTCCATTTTCTTCCTTTCAAATTGGAGTGTAATGTAACTGGTGTCTGAACGGAAATTGAGTCTATTAAAAGTTTAAGAGCAGTTTTATGTAGCTTTGGTAACCTTTTTCTTAAGAGTAAATTTTTTATTTGCAACAGCCAAAATATTTTCAAACATTTCGAAACGCCCATACAGTTTTTTTTTTAAACAAGAAATAAATGATTCAGTCAATTTAAAAATAGGACTTTTGAATATACAAGTTAAAAGCAGCGATGACATTTTAAAAGTTGAACAATTCACATAAAAAAATAACTTCAGTTTGATGCTTTTTGTTATTAACTACCGAGAAGATTTCAAAAGAATACTGACAACATCTAGGCAATCTTAAATCTATCTGTACGACAAAGGTTTTTAACTTGAAACCAAGTTCAAAGCATTTGTCAGAGACTACTTTCCCCCACACGTCGTATTTACTCTTTGGTGTAACTTAATTAAGAACACATTAAATATATTAATTTATTAAAAATTTTATAGAGATTTTTCTCATCAAAAGTAACTTTTCTTAAAATATTCATGAAATTCCAATTTTTTCAATGAACAACTTTAATGTTGATTCTAAAATGTCAATACCCAAGTTTAAGTTATACTTTATTGATACTTTAGACTTTATTGATGTTATTTGTTTTGTTTCAGTAACTTTTGGGGCCAATTTTTATGTACATATTTAGGGAATATGAAATCAGATTCCATTTTAAGAGCCATAACACATTATACGCTTATTTGGAAATAAACAAACGAAAACCAAAAAAGACAAAAAGAAAATGAAACCAAAGCAAAACATGGGAGAAAAGACCAATGCAATTATAGCCCCCCCCCCAATGACAAAGTATCTCAACTACAATATCCTGGAGATATAATCATAAATATACGATTCGACACTAATTATTGAACTATATCAGCTTATATATATATATTATATATACACACACACACACACACACACACACAGGGTGTAACAGCAAAATAAAATTGTCCAAATCGTTTAACAGCAAAATTGTTCAATTGTTGGATTAAGCTTTGAACCGTTGAAGCTTAGAAATGACTAAAGATATCTTACTGGAATTCTCCGAGGTTTTTATAACACTATTGAACTATTTCGATCAATAAGAATGCATAATTACTCCCCAAGCTTAACAGAAGAATCTGATGAAATCGATCATAAACGAAAATGGCATGTTAATCATAGCTAAGGATCAGAAGCTCATGAAGGATTGAAATAAAGTTCAAATAGAGGCTTAAATACCGGTATTTGTTTCTAGTGGATAAGAACAATTCTGGCATAAGCCCAAACTGTTAGGCATCAAGAATTACTTTGCCTTTGACAATGCCATCCTCAAGCCTCTTCCTGAACAAACCACATTTTTAAGGAATTCATCAATGTTTTCCATCCAGGTCTTATTGATGGATTTGTGAGTACTTGCAGGCTACAATGGGTATCTCTCAAATTTTTTGGCCAGTTCATTCCAGATACTTAAGTCTAAGGCGATGAAGGAGGTGAGGTTTCCTTAGCCCAAAACCTGTTCGTGAACTCATCCCTGAGAAATTTTTGAGCCACTGCACTGGTGTGACAAGGAGAGCCATCCTGCTGGAATGTAAATTTAAAAGCCTTATTGATCTTGTTGGGGTTTCGATTGTCTATAGCCTCAGGATACTCAGAAAGAATCCAGGTCTTTACCTTTTTCAAAGTTTGAACATAGCAATCTCCTGTCAATCTCTCAAACATGATCAATTGCATATTCTTGCCATCAGAGGCCACACAGACAAAATCCAATAACTTGGCAGGGATTTTGCACTTGAAAGTGACATTCTTGTCTCTCTCGTGAGAATCTGAAGCCAGAATACAGCTATTACGTCTGTTTGTGTACACATCCTGTGTAAGATTCTTATCTGTGTAGAAGATTATTCCAGAATCATTTTCCAACTTATTGAAAATGATCTTCTCCCTCCCTAACCTAACTTTCTGTACTGGAATAACGAGATGCCTCAAAACGTTTCACGTACGATTTCATTTTCAAGTCTTTTTTCATTGCTCTTTGGACTGTCATAGCTGAAACTTCTCTCTCACGTTCCAAAAAACTTATGGATTGAGCTGGATCTTTTCTAATTGATCTCTTTAACTCTAAGTTGAAATGATGATCCCTCTTCCTGTTGTGACCTCCTGATCCAGTTTTCCTCTCTACTGTTCCCTCTTTTTTTATTCACCTTTCTCTTGAGGGTTTTTGAATGGACTTTGAAGATGGAAGCCAGAGTATGAATTTCGGTGCCATTACCGAAGGCTTGAATGATCTTTTTCCTCTCACCATTGCTCAGTTGGGAAGACTGAATGGAGCTGATCCAAAATGATTTTAACCTGTTCTCTTTCTAGCTGAATAACTCAAAGTTTTTCAGTAATCAAAAATGGTATCAAAATGGCTAAACATCTTATCTGAAAACCGGGGAAAAAAATCAATTAATTTAGTGGTTTGTAAATATTAAACATTTTGTGGGAGAGACAATTATGTTGTTACACGATTTGGACAATTTTGCTGTTACATCCGGTATATATCAGGGTAAATTTGTTACATAAAGGTCACAAGCTGCATACCCTGAGTAATTACTGACGGCACGTGTCTCCCTCGCTTTTATATATATATATATATATATATATATATATATATATATGTGTGTGTATGTATGTGTGTGTAGGAAAGAGTTATTTCTTAAATGCGCAATATGTCATATGTAGTAAAAGCCAGCATATGCCGCATCATCTTAAGAATGCATATATTAGAGAAGGTAGCAAAGTAGTTTCATATGTTACAGTGATCGTACTTAGCTTTTATTAGTGTAAATTCTAGTTCATGACAATGAAAAACAAATTTCAGCAGTAATAAAAGAAACAATATTTAGATGTAACTACGCGTAGTTTTATGAGACAAGTGAGAGGCAACAATTTTTCATTCGTTGATATCTGATTAGTAACAAAGGTATTCATCAACATTTAAAAGATTAAAAATAGAACCATTTTTCTAGATTCTCGCAAATTCATTGCACTTCTTTGGCCTAAAAGTCTACGCGAGTACAATAAATTACGATTCAAAGTTAAATTATAGGAAGTTACTATCAATTTATAACATATTAACATTGAATATTCTTGTAAAAAATACTAAAGTTTATTATCAAGTTACGATAATATAAATTCAAGCATTAAAAATACAGCTTAACTTATTCTGGAATAAATAAAAGTGGCAATCACCAAAAATATTTTTTAGGAGAAAATATGTGAAACATAAAAAATGTCGATTATACCTGCTGCTGTTAGAGACAGATGTTATGCGGTAAATAAATAGGCTAGCAATTAGGAAAAATGCTTTCAGGCATTAATTGCATTCAATACTTCATATTTAACACTTAGTTCAATTATCAGCACAAATAAACTTTATACTTTGAGAATGTGTGTGTATGTATGTATATATAACAAAATCTACACAACAAAACTGGAAAGGTTTCATCAAAATAAGTCTTTTACTTTACGAAACCATGCAGAATTCTTGTTGGTTTTAATTCGTGTAGAAAAAACAAAACAACAAACAAACAAAAACAACAAGTAATTTCTTTTACAACAGAAATTAGATAAAAATTTACCTTTAATTTCTGATTTCTTTTCGCTATCCGAGAATGAGGAATGATCTTGCCAGCATACACAACATTGGTATTCAGGTCTATCATTTCGTAGCATTTTGCAAATCCACCCTTGATAATAGATAAATAAAGAGCAGAAATATAATAAAAAATGTAAATGTTAACTAAAAAGGTTCAGTAACATTTTGTAAGTTTTATAAAATTATACAGCATATTAAAATCATGTTGAGAAGAGATGAGTTGGGATTAAACTCTCCAAAAGCCTATATATGAGTAATAGGAATTAGTAGACTAATAAATTACTTCGTTTCTTTTTTAATTATGAGAAAAACTTTCACATTAAGAAAGTTTGATATTTATGTCTTAATTGGAAAACGTTTAGGGCAAATGTTGGTTTAGTTATTACATAACAAAATTTGATTTCAAATACAAAAGAAATCTTTGCAATCGATAATTCAGGCACAAAAGTCACATGACAATATTGGACAATTTCTTCACAGATGAAGAAAACGATACACTGTCGCGTCGAGTGTTTTCTTCTACCAACGAACGTTGAGAATACCATTATGTAGGGAAAAATAAGTTTTAAGAGAAACATACAAGGAAATTGCTAATACTGACAATGATAAAGTCGAACATTTTTGCATACATTGAATAAAGAAATCTTGGAGAATTGCCCACTCACAGGGCACACACAGAAGCAAAAGGGAAACAGCAAGAAACCTACATAAACTTGAGTGAGCGAGTGATTTTAATTTACAATTTTCATTTAATCGAATTGCTCTAAATTTTACAGCCTATAAGAGGAGAGAAAAACGCAATTGATTTATTTTTCCCACGACTACATTAAAAACCATTAAAAAAAAATATTTGAAAAATTAGTTCTTTTACAGACCTTTGTTTTAAATTTATCTTTAAAAAATAGAGAGAGAGAAAAAAAAATAGAGAGAGAGAGAGAGGGAAAAGAAAAGAGAGAGAGAGAGAAAAGAAAATAGAGAGAGAGAAAGAAAAAAAAAGAGAGAGAGAGAGAGAAAAAAAAAAAGAGAGAGAGAGAGAAAAAAAAAAGAGAGAGAGAGAGAGAAAAAAAAAGAGAGAGAGAGAGAGAAAAAAAAATAGAGAGAGAGAGAGAGAAAAAAAAATAGAGAGAGAGAGAGAAAAGAAAAATAGAGAGAGAGAGAGAGAAAAGAAAAATAGAGAGAGAGAGAGAAAAGAAAAATAGAGAGAGAGAGAGAGAAAAGAAAAAGAGAGAGAGAGAGAGAGAAAAAAAAAGAAAGATAGAGAGAGAAAAAAAAAAAAAAGAGAGAGAGAGAAAAGAAAAAGAGAGAGAGAGAGAAAAAAAAAAAAGAGAGAGAGAGAGAGAAAAAGAAAATAGAGAGAGAGAGAGAAAAGAAAAATAGAGAGAGAGAGAGAAAAGAAAAATAGAGAGAGAGAGAGAGAAAAGAAAAATAGAGAGAGAGAGAGAGAAAAGAAAAATAGAGAGAGAGAGAGAGAAAAAAAAAAGAGAGAGAGAGAGAGAAAAGAAAAATAGAGAGAGAGAGAGAGAAAAAAAATAGAGAGAGAGAGAGAGAAGAGAGAAGAAAAAAAGAAAGAGAGAGAGAGAGAAAAGAAAATAGAGAGAGAGAGAGAGAAAAGAAAAAGAGAGAGAGAGAGAAAAGAAAAAGAGAGAGAGAGAGAGAAAAGAAAAATAGAGAGAGAGAGAGAGAGAAAAAAAAAATAGAGAGAGAGAGAAAAAAAAGAAAATAGAGAGAGAAATAGAGAGAGAGAGAAGAAAAGAAAATAGAGAGAGAGAGAGAGAAAATAGAGAGAGAGAGAGAGAGAAAAGAAAAATAGAGAGAGAAAAAAAAAGAAAAATAGAGAGAGAAAAAAAAAAAGAATTTTACTTTTAGAACATCTGTCACCTTCCAGACGGTGCAATTTTTACATTAGTGCTCCAATTTCGTTAGTATCATCAATGTTGAGAAAGACCATATGTAAATTGTCTGTCATTTTCATACAAACTGGTTTAAGTATAAAAAAAGCAAAACTGTTCACTTTCAATGTTGCGATGGCGTGAGGTGACAAGGTTAGTTTATTTAAAGAAAATGTTTATGCGATCAATATGGTTTACTTCTGTGTATTTAGTGTATGTGAATAACATTTTAGTAAACTTATTTGTAATATTCATATCATGCGATATAAACTGAAAATGGTTACTATTATTATTACTGTTAGTAATAATAGCAACAACTGTAACAGCTTGACCGATCAACCAAGTAATAATGACCTAAAGCAGTACGGATTCGAACGGTTTCTAATATTTCCATGAATAAAAACAGGTAAACATTACATTCTGCATAATATCATGAAGAAAATGGTTTCATTAGAAATGTAGTCAGCGATTAAAAAATTGGTGAAAATATTACTGATTGAGATGGAAGAGAAAATTAAAAATACAAGATTTTCAAGAACTTTCAGGAACTATGAATAAACTTTGAAATGTAAAAATGCTATTCACCGACATTTCTTCAATAAGATTAATTAGAAGTAAACAAATAAATTTTGCTGAACTCTGCAGCAAAAACTGTTTTAAGCGGCTATTATAATTATTAAAAATGAATATGTTGGAGTTGAAATAAAAGACGTTAATAACTTCAGAATGTTTTCCATAAAACACTAGAAATTTATTCTTGAAATGGCTAAAACGAATGGGGCAAGAAAACAAACCATGAGATATATACGAATATAAAAACGTATTGAATTTCCAAGATATACAATGGTTCCCAAAATATAGTGTGGAAAAATAAAAATATCATTAAACATAAGGGAAAAAGAAAAAAAATTACGTTACACGAGGCCCAAATAACTAAAATAAGAATTTATGACATTTTTAGACATTTCCGACACATTTATTAAAATAAATATACAGAATACCTCGATAAAGTCGATATTCATATGAAGTGTAGCAAAATCTACCGTGGAAATGGCATTTTGATCCCGATATTACCGATATAAGTAAATGATAACGATCCTAACCAACTTCAGAATCTGTTATATTCAGCTCATTACAGTAATAAACGACATTTATGGATTTGACGAATTGGTAGTCAATATAATGTGTTAGAGAGTTTAAATTTCATTACAGATGGGTCAGTATGGGCCTGACTGCAAGTCATTTGCATTTATGATAAATAATTGCCCATAGTGGGGAACGAAGCATAGTTGTTGATAGTTATAATGTAGTTTAATTCCTGCTTTGCTATGCTTTGTATTCGGCTTATTTACAGTGAATAGACAGAAAAATCCGAGACTCATGTCGTGATTTATAGTTGCATAGTCAATGTTTCTATGCATTGATGGGGTAATTTATTCTTTGGTAAAATTAGTAAAACGTTATTACCACACACTATTTAAATTATTGCGCCGATTTGAAATTTTTACCATGCAAAAAGAAAGTGTACTTTTGACATTAACACGTGTTCAGAATAATTAACGAATATAAATGTTATAATAATGTCACTCATATATTTTAAACGTTACCAAACTTAACAGACGTATTGGATTCTTTGTTGCTCAAAAGCGAAATACTCGTTAGTTTAACTACAATTCAACCACATTCCGAGCAGATTTTGTTAAAACATTCTTCTCTCCACATTTTATACCCACTTTGAGAAAAAAAATCTTAAATAGCGTAAATTTCACACGTAATATTCTGACAATGTCACTGGGACAAATTTCAATTATGGATCTTTTTCGAAAATGCAATAATCTTAAGTTGAATACGGTTGTAAATTTTATTAATATGTATAATCGAAATATTTCGACTGGTTATCCAGATTGGGTGTGACCGAAATATTTTAAGAATTATCATTTATTCGGATGAAGATGAGATATTTCTTAACCGATTTGTTTTTGAAATACAAACATCGACTTTTACATTGAAACTATGTTTCAATAAGTTTTCTCAATGATTTACAAATGTTATACAGAAAAGACAAAAATATTCTTTTTCAATAGTTTTGGTAGTGGCAATGCTTGTGAATATCCCAAATATGTAATTTAGAGAAGTAACATTTTCGTTTACTTTTCAAAGAGAATCGATTATTCCCTATGTAATAATTATAATTAACAATGGGATGTGATTGTTATTATAACCTGCGTTAAAACTATAGACGAGTGAAGAAAGATAGCGTTATTTTATTTACTTACAAAGTGTGTGACTATAGAAATCGTGATGACCAAATAAACCAATTCTTTATGTATTTGATGGAGTTGAAACGTCAGTAGATATATAAATGACAAAAATAAGTTCTCATTTATATATTGACATAAGTTTCAACTCTCAAAAATGAGGAAATTGAAGCCACTTGTTACTGATCCTTTTAGACAAACAGAAACAAATAACTGGTTGCTCGGTGGCTGTAGTGTTAGACAGGAAGCTATCGAATGCCTGATAGGTGATATTTATTATGAAAGACTTGAGTTAATTACAAATGGAAAGCGTGTGTGCGTAATCTATTCTACTAAAGTAATAGAATTTCAGTACAGTAAAAATAGCAATATTTTCGGCAGCAATTATAAATGTCTTATTAAAAGAGAAAGGAATATATATAAGTTTATTGATAGTTTTTTTTTCTAGTGTATGAAAAACTTTTCCGAAATGCGGCTGTTGCTGATGTATAAAATGACCAAAATTCATAGTGTCTAAGCTTTCGCCTCACATTTTTTTTCACACTGTACAAGGACTTGTGAGGACTGTACAAGGCACAGGAGCCACTCGAGGTAGAGAGTTACAGTAAGGGGGAGTTTATGTGGATAGGATGGAAGATAGCCTGTTCAAGTCTAAGGTTAACAGTTAAGATTTTAGTAGTCTGGGAAACATCCTTTTGGGAGTCGGTTTCACAAAGCAGCGGTTTGCGGGAAAAAGCTGTAAGAGGAGAGAGAGAGTGAGAGAGAGAGTGAGAGAGAGAGAGAGAGAGAGAGAGAGAGAGAGAGAGAGAGAGAGAGAGAGTGAGAGAGAGAGAGAGAGTGAGAGTGAGAGTGAGAGAGAGAGAGAGAGAGAGAGTGAGAGTGAGAGAGAGAGAGAGAGAGAGAGAGAGTGAGAGTGAGAG